TGGGGAGGTTGCTGACTGCAGCCCTGTAAACTGGCAGTTAGATATAGGGCCACGATCAGATTCACGTTTCACTATTTTATGAACCCTGGGGCCTTCTAACAGGGCTATGGCAGACAGGCACCGAAAGAGAAATGTGGGCAGGGCCCAGATGGCAAGGACACAGCCCCGAGGCCCTCCTCAGCGGGTGCGTTCTGGGCCACCGGGAGTCTGGCTGCACACGGGTGGGCCTGAGAACCTGGGGGTCCTCCAGGGCCAGCCCTGCCGGCTGCAGAAGAGGATGGGGCCCGGGGTGGCCAAGGGGCAGCAGTGGAAACCACAGGTCTGGTCAGCCAGCCCCACGGCTGTGGGCCATTGGCCTTGGCGCAGGCCCGTGCCAGCCATGGGCCTTGGCCGGGGCTTCCATGGCCTGGACTGCCCGAACGCTGTGGACGAGCCCACGCGCTCCAGGTTTGGGCGCTGGCACCAGTTTGGCCAGTTCCTCTGCATCTTAGTTTGCTGAGTCTAGAGAGAGACGCTGGCCTGTGGCCAGTATCCTGGACGGTGGGTGGCCGCCTGTGAGCTGTGCTCAGAACGTTTGAGGCCGGCTCCGGCTGCCTTTGCTGAGAGTGGGGCACCTGCAGGGTCTGGCTGGAATGACAAGGATGTTGCTCTTGGGACTGTGGGCCCAGCACACCCTGAACTTGGCTGCTCCTCACTGAACACGTTGCTGGCTCTTGGAAGCGTTGCCAGGCAGGGGGCGTCACGGGCCGGAGGTCTCATCCCAGGTCACCAGGGCCGGACACACGGTGGGCACTCAGGGGAAGGCCTCCGCCCGGCTCACATGCTGCGCGCCCAGCTCTGGGGAGCTGTAAAGCACTCCTCCCACTTTGCTTCAGGGACCAGGGCTTAACGCAGCCTGCCCAGAGTGAGTCCCGGCTCTCTGCGCACCGCCCGTGTGGCCCCAGGCAGCTCGTCTGCCTGTTCCAGTTTCTTCATCCGGGAAGTGGGGCCGCAGAGAGCACCTGTGTTTCGGGCTGTGAAGCAGTCGTATGTGTTAAGTGCTTAGAAAAGTGCCTGGCCATGGTAAGTGCCGGTGAATGCTGGGGACCCCGGGCTTGGCACCGGGCCTTCCGCCTCCCTCCACCCCCGTGTGTGGTAGATAGAGCCGCAGAGCGGCCTCTTGGTGTCCCTGTGAGCTCCCATTTTCCTGCTGGCGAATCCTGCAGCTTCAGTCACCATCTGTCTGCTGGGTCTCCCAGGTGACCTCCTACAGCCTAGAGCTCTTTCTGGTAAAAGCGGTAGCTTCCCTTTCTCGACGGCACCAAGCTGAGGCGATTAGCTGCCTTGTCTCATCCAATACTCCCACTTGTAGTTGAAGAAACCGAGGCTTAGGGAGGACGGGCCTCATGACCAAGGCCGGGTAGCCAGTGAGAGGTGAGGCCCCGTCCTGGTCTAACCCTGTGCTCACGGGGGGCTGTCGGGGATGTCCAGCTGCCTGCCCACGTCCTGCTGGTGTTCCCTGAGGCCCCTGGCCACCGTCCCCTCCCTGACATGCTCCCTTAGCTGAGTTCCTTCACGTGTGCGGCTCTGTTGCACTGAGTCCACTCACAGAATTTTTGGGGAAATAGCGAAACATCTACAGAAGTAGGAGGAGTGCTTTAACAAGTCCCCGTAGCCACCCGTTGGGTCCAGCACTTCCTGCGTGTGGCCCTGACACCGTGATTTCATGTGTCCCTGTTTCAGAATGTGTCTCCTAAAAGATGAGAACTGCTTTTTAATCATACAATAATATCAGCATTACACCTACAAATTAATAATTCCTCTGTATCTAGTCAGTGTTTCAAGTTTTTTTTGTTTGAATCAGATCTAGATAAGACCAACACGTGATTCATGAGTTTGTCTTGTAAGTTCCTTTTACTGTGAAAAGGCATAAAGTAGGGAAGAATCTCCTTATACCATTGCTTTTCTTTGCAATTTACTTGTTGAGGCAGCTGGGTCATTTGTCCTGTAGAGTTTGGTATCACCTAGCTTATTGTTGCTTTTTGTACCTGGGGTTTGTTATGCACCATCCTCTGATTGTACATTCCCTGTCAGTTTGAACTTGAATCTGGAACTGAAGTCCTCCCTGGAAGGTGGTACATTGACCTTGTGGGTGGCCTGTGTTTGTGATGTTGGCCGCAGTGGATGCACAGTGCCCCGGTCACTGACCCATTAGGAGGGACAGAACAGTGGTGCCCGCATGCCTTCTGCACGCATTAGCTGGAGTACATTCCTGCTGTCTGCCTCTCAGATCTTCTGTGTTTACCTCGTGGGAAGGCAGGACAAATGCTTGGTTTGGATTTTTTTTTTCTTTTTTTTTGCTCCATTTGCCAGGTTCAAACCCTGTCCCCCATAGCGGCATCCTGCAGGCCCGAGGAGGTTTGCTTCCTGGGACACAGATCTGGGCTTGTTCTTTCTGAGCCCAGATCCCCCTGTAGACACCTCTGCCCCCAGGATGTGGCTAAGGCCCATCGCTCCAGGTCACCTGTTGCCACCACTGTCCCCCCTGCCGTTCCAGATGTAGCCATATGGACTCTCGGGGCTCTAGAAAGGACTCTGCTGTGGCCTCTGCAGCTTCTCCCCACCCCCTTCTTGATTGACTCATGGCCCCTCTCTGAGCCTGGCACAGCCTCCAGGGAACCTTCCTGGCCCCCTCTCCACCCCCACTATTGGGTCATGCTCCGCTCTTGCCCATCTTAACATGTCATTCTTTTGACAAAAACGTCTTGAGTGCAGGACAGGGGTCCCCACAACCCTTGCCTCCAAGGGTTCCCAATTTGGTGGGGACACATTCCCGCTGTGACAGGTGCCTCCATGAGGTTGGCACGAAGCCGTGCAGGCCCAGAAGAGAGGCATCAGCCGCATTCGGGGGTGTAGCAGAAGCTTGACATGGGGGCTTCTTTCTCTTCCTTAACAAGCAGTTGGAAAGTAGCTGGCTGATGGCCTGGAACAGAGATCCACATGGCTCTCCTCCATGCTCTTCCCAGGATTGCTGACCTTCCAACTAGGCAAGAGGAATAATGATGCTGAGCCTTTCTCTTTACACTTAGTGTTTGACTTGGGAGGGCAAGCGCTCCCTAGGCTGACCTCATTACACCTCATCACTCAGACCAGGCCACGTGTCCACCTTGGGCCAGGGAACAATTTCCAAGTCTGCTTTAGATGGGCTGTGGGTGGAAACCACTCTTGTTGACCCCAAGGGCTGCTGGGGGGAGGGCGAGGCCAGTGTTACCTCACTGGTTGGCATTGCCTTGGGAAGGCCTCTTTACTTGTCTTCTCTGCACTGGACTTGAGGCTCCCAGAAGGCAGAGTCTGCGACTCTTTCATTCAACAGGTGCATCTTCTACCTGTGGCCTAAATGGGGGGGGGGGTGGCGAGTTGTCCTCGTGCAACTGCGGGACCCCACTCCTGTCTGTTTATTCAGAAGCAGGCACAGGGCCAGCCAGGTTCCCTCTCCTAGGTGTCGCCCACTCATCAGAGCTCAACAAGCCCAGCATGGCTCATGTGAACCATGCTACCGCTGGCTGGGGAGACGGAGGAGGAGGGTGAGGCTGCCCGAGCCCCTGCCTGTAGTCGGAGCGGCAGGAATGAGGCTCAGCCCCAGCCTCTGCTCCCTTCTCCCCCCGGGACTGTGACCCTGCTGGTCTGTGTGGAAGGAATGGTGGGAAAAAGAGAGCGTGGGCATGCCTATGTGGAAGGCTCTGTGCTTCCCCCTTCCTTTCTTCCCCCTGACTGTCCAGTCCTGAAGTGAGACCTCCTTCACCAGCACCCCGACTCCTAGAGTTTTCTCCCCTACTGGAGAGCATTTTTAAAAAATTGCCTGTAATATACATACCAGAAAATTCCCTTTTAAAGCATACTAATTCAGTGGTTTTTTAGTATATTGTGTGGCCAGCACAGTTTTCTAATTCTAGAATATTCCATCACCCCAGAAAACAACCTCATCCCCATCAGCAGTCACTCCTCATCCCCAGGCCCCAGTTCCTGACAACTACGAGCCCTCTTCCCATCTGTGGAAGAGCCTGTTCTGGACGTGTCACCCACGTGGACTCACACCCCGTGTGGCCTTGTGTGTCTGGTTCCCTCCCTGAGCGTCGTGGGCTCAGGGTCCGTCCCCGGGACCGTGCGTGTCGGCCTCTCACCCCCGTCTGCAGCTGAGGGAGGCACCTATGCGTGGAGGGACACGTTACGTTGACCCGTTTATCCGTCAGGGGACACTGGGGTTGCGTCCACTTTTGACTTGTGAATCCTGCTGTGCTACATAGACGTACAAGCGTTTGTGTGAACATAAGTTTTCATTTCTCTTGGCTGTGTATTAGGAGGCATGTATGGGGCGGTTACTCTGTAGTAAACGTGGGGAGGGGCCCCCAGACAGCCCCGGGAGTGATGGCACTGGTGACGGGGCACCCACTGCCCCACAGCCTCACTGCCACTTGAGATTCCCCACTTTGTCAAGAACCACTGTGCTGGAGGCTGGGAGGTGTTATCTCGGGGTTTGGATTTGCTTTTCCCTGGTCATTAGTGATATTGAGCACCTTCCAGTGGGCTTGTTGGCCGTTTGGATGTCTCTGGAGCTCTCCCCCTTCCGGGGAGGGTGGGGTGCAGACTGCGGAATCACGGGCCTCGGCGCCTGGGGTCAGACCTCCGTACTGCCGCTCACCAGCCGTGTCTTCAAGCCTCAGTCTCTCCGTTCGTTGACGGGTGCCATGAGGGCCGAAGGGGGTGTGTGCCATCAGCAGGAATAGGTCCAGTAACTGTCTGAGAACATCATGCTTAATGATCTGTTTCTCTCGTGGAGACTGCTTTGCTGGGTCCAATGCACGTAGTAAGTTAATTTAGTTTGGATAATGGAATAGACGAGAAGGAGGCACACAAGAGAAGCAGGTAAGGGACTGAGGGGGAGAGAAGGGGCCGGTGGTGGGGAGCGTGTCCTGTGGCTGCCTGCCCCTCTGAGGTGAACTTCCTTGTTTTCTTTGTTGAAGGAGGAGCCCAGGAAGGTATGCTTCACCTATGACCTGTTCCTGAACCTGGAGGGCAACCCGCCTGTGAACCACCTGCGCTGTGAGAAGCTCACCTTCAACAACCCCACCATTGAGTTCCGGTACAAGCTCCTGATGGCTGGCGGGGTGAGTGTGCCCCTGCTCGGATGGACGCTGGGGAGGTGCCAGCCGCTCCCTCGTGGCTCCTGCGTAGCTTCTTGTGTTGAGCGGCCTCGGTGCTCGGGGTGCCCAGGGGTCTCCCAGGCAGGTCTCGTCAGTGTTGGTTGGGTGCCCGAGACCCGGAGGGGCGGCCTGCTCAGGCAGCACCTGGCCGCCCTGTGTAGGATGCAGGTGTCCCGAGTCTGCGCCGGGGCGTTGTCAGCTGGAACGACTAGTGACTAGTTATCCCCAGAGTTTCCTGGTTGACTGTGGTTAATTAGCATCTTCCTCCATGGGAAGGAGGGGTGGGAGGAATGGGCGTGAGGCCAGTCTGTCAGCGTGGTGAGGCGCAGGAGCCAGCTTTGAACCGGATTGGCAAGGCCGTACCGGGGCTGCGTCATCTGGGGACACAGCAGTGGCTCTCCGGAGGGTTCCCTGATGATGTGTGTTGCCTGACAGTTTTTTCCTAGTGAGGCCAGACAAAGGCGTCAGCTCCCAGAAGCCAGGCCTCTGAGGGAGCCGTGTAGCTGGGGATCCGTGTGTGGTGGCAGAGTGCGGGGAGCACAGTTGAGAACCGGAGTAGGGGCGCTTGGTGTGGATGGGATGCTTGTTGTGGAGGAGGAGGGGTGCCTGGCCGAGGGAGGGCCACGCCGAGGACATGGGACGTCCCACAGCCACCTTTCAGCGCCCCAGTGTCACTGAGCATTTGTCTAGTGGCCAGCCAGGAAGATTTGGGTCAGGGCGGCGAGTGTGAGTGCATGTGGCAGGGCAGGCCCACCTCCCCAGTGAACATAGGGAGTTTGGCTTGAGCTTCTGTAGGCCTGCAGAGCAGTCCTTTCTGATTCAGTTGGATCTTTTGTACTTTTTTTTCTTTTTTAATAAAGGCAGTCACTTATTCATTGTAGAAAATTTGATTATGTTCTGCCAGGTTTCTTATAAAAAATGTGTCTGTGATTATAATCTAGCATGTGATGGCTGACGGGAACAAAACAGGGAGGTGTTGGAATCTGTTCACAGAGACATTTGTCCTGAAGTTTGCCTGAGAGGTCTGGAAGAGCCAAGGAAGTGGGGTGGGGGGTGCTGCTGGGGTCCACAGTCTTCCCCAGCTCTGCTTCTCCACCTTCTTTCTGCTGCCGGATATTTTCCAAAGTATTTGTTACCCAAAGGCTCCATAGTCAACATTTTCTTCGGGAGACACATGTGCACTTAGCATTCTTGGCCTCTCAGAGCTCCAGGACCAAGGGACTGCCCCCCTCTGCCCCCTGCATAAGGAGGTTTTCTTTGCTAAGAGATGAAGGCTTGATGTGCATCATCAAAACCTATAAAACTGGAGGGCGGAGGCAGCGAGGGGGAGAGGTTGGGAGTGCAGGTCCGGCGAGCCGTTTGGGAAGGGCCAGTCCTGGAGGGAAGAGGCAGAGTCCGGCACGGTGGTCTCTGCCCGGTGCTCCTCACCCCAGGGAGGGCTGGCCGGAGAACTGACTGGTTGGTCAGGAACTTTCTCACCCTTTGGGGCTGTGGGCCTTTGGGGCTTGCCCTGGGCTAATGGCAAAGCAGCGCTCTCTGGTCTTTGGAGCAGCCTGACACCTTGATGGGATAGATGGTAGCTCCCAACACGTGAGTTGTGGTCCTCGTGTGCCGTTTTGGAGCGGAGTGTCCCCGCTGGGGCTGGCATTTGCCATCTTGTGGCCGATGACCGCAGACCCGCCTGAGCTGATGTCGGTGCCGGAAGAACTGGAGTCACGACCTGACCCGTAGGTTGATGAGACCTGCCTTCCTTGCTGCCCCCTCCACCGGCGGTCACCTGGAGCTCTGAGTCCTCGCCCGAACATCAGGCACCTGCTCAGCAGTGACCAGATCAGCTTTGCTCCTTGCTTAGGTGGTCAGCGGCCAGCCTCGGGGAGGCGGCTGCCTGTCCCCTCAGCGTTGTGTCTCGTCCTTTGCCCCATCGGCAGTTGAGCTGCACGGAACAGAAGCTCCTTTTGCAACCGAGGGTCTGTATTTCCATCGGGTGCGGTGGGTGCTCTTGAGGCACGGCGGCGGAGATAAAAGTGGATCCGTTGGTTCACTTGACCTTTCTCAAAGGGCTGTTGTTACAGGGGAGAGGGCCCGGAGAGGTTTTCTCTGTGTTATCCTGGAGCCACGTCAGGCTAGGACATTAATTCGAAGGGAGAGAGGAGTCCTGAAGGCTGAGTGGAAGGAAAAGCGAGTGAAGGAGCGTTGGAACCTGTCTGTGCCCTTGGGTCGGGTTGTAGTCGCTTCTCTGTGTCCCACGAGTGCTTGCGAGCCTGAGAGTGCGGTGCTTTGCCCGAGGCCCGGGCTGCTCAGCTGGGCCTCGGGTGCCACGGATCAGAGTGTTGTGCTGTGCTTGGACGGGCTCTGGGGAACGCCTGGGGCCTCTGGCTTCGCTGCCTCGGAGTCGGGGGGCCAAGGGGGAGGGACGAGGGGCTTCGCTGTGTTGCTTTCAACCCGGTGTCCCCTGATGCCAGCCTACTCGGAGGAAAGGTTTGGCTTATCAAGGAATCCCAGGTGCTCAAGGTTATTAATGATGCTTGTTCTACTGAGCTAAATGCTTTTTTTTTCTTTTTCTTCCTTCCTTTCTTTTTTCTTTCTTTCTTTCTTTCTTTCTTTCTTTCTTTCTTTCTTTCTTTCTTTCTTTCTTTTTTTTCTTTCTTTCTTTTCTTTCTTTTTCTTTCTTTCTTTCCTCTCTCTCTCTTTCTTTTTTTTAATGTGCACTTTATTCTTTTGTTCTGTCTCGTCTTTATCTGGAAGGCTCGCTCTGAGTGGCTAGCTGCTAGTCGTGTGAACTTGTAGTGTCAGCATCTGGACGACTTGCCCCCAAGCCTTCTCTCCTTCAGCAGGTGCGGCGGGAGCTGGGGAGCCGCGCTGGACCCGGCAGGTGTTTCCCGGGAGCACCTCCTGGCAGGACCCCAGGCCCTTCCTCCGCGCAGCAGTTGGCTAACCAAGCGGGGCACTCTCTGGCCCCCCCCGCAGGCTCGTGCTGCACCCACCCTGTGCACTTCTCTCCTGCCTCTGCCCCCATGCTGCCGATTCAGTCACCTTCGCCTGCTCGATCGCGGAGGAGGGCTCGGGCCCCCGTCCCCGGAAATGCGGGACCCGGCAAAGCCCCCCCCATGCGCATGGCCGTCAGAAGTTGCTCGCTCCGCCGCGCGGCTACCCAGTGTGGGTGTCTGGCTGGCCTCTCGCCTTTCCAAACCGTGCGTCTGGTCCTTCTAAACTGCAGTGTGCAGGTCAGCTTGGGCCACAGCTGCCTTCTCGTGCTTCTCGGCACACTCCGCAAGTCTTCCTGGCCTGGCCCTCCTGTCTGCCGCGCTCTGGGCTCTCGTTCCAGAGACTGTGTGGCCGCACCTAGGCCCAGCCATCCTGGGACCCTGGCTTCTCTTCACTCTCCACCTCGAGCCTGCTTCGCTCCAAGCACTTGGCCCCCCAGCCTCTCATGGAGGACATGCCTTTGATTCTTTTGGAAAACTGGCGCTCCAGTCCTCCCTTGCCCCTCCCCCAGAAGGCAGCTCCCACAGCCTCTGGCCATACTCCTGCAGGCTGACTTCCTCTTGCCGGTCAGAAATCCAGCCTGCCTCCTTGCTCACTGATAACATCTGTCTCTTCTTTATCACTAGGTGATGGTAATGCCCGAAGGAGCAGAAACGGTGTCCAGGCCCAGCCCCGACTACCCCATGTTACCCACAATTCCACTCTCTGCCTTCTCTGACCCCAAGAAGACCAAACCGTCCCACGGCTCCAAGGTTAGTGAGGCGGAAGGCCCAGTCACATGGGAGCACTGGGGCCCAGTGGTGGGTCCTGGGCTCAGGGCGCCCCCTCTGCAGAGCTGGACCTTCCGTTCCCAGACTCGCTCCCTTGGCATCTTCCTCTTATAGAGCTCTTCGCTCTACCTGGCAGCTCCCTGCCACTTAGGAGGGTTGGCCCCTGCTGGGTTGCACGAACAGCCACATGACTGCAGGTTCTTCACCCTCTTCCTCTTAAGGCCAGAGAGCCTGCCCCATCCTCACTGCTCCCACAGTGTCAGTGGGCCTTAGGACCCCGCAGACAGGACCCTGAGAATCTCGCGAGGTTGGGGGCCATGGACAGTGTTTCCACCACAGCCACGGCTGCCCAGCTCCTAGGCCTCCTGAGCATGGCCGGGATGCCCCATCTGCCAGGGCTCGGTGCCTCCTCCCTGTGCTGTTCCAGGCTTGGCCTCTTTCTTTGGGAGCAGCTCTCAGCATAGAATGCTTATTTGGGGGAAGGGCCAGGTGGGACGATGCGGTGAGAAGGCGCATTTCCCCCAAGAAGAAACGTTTTGTCATCTTGTCTCAGTCCTGTTGGGCAGGCGGCACTCTGCCTTCCCGAGACCTCTCTCTTAACTGTTAAGGAGTGGTCGCTGGAGCTCTTCGGATAGTGTCCTCGTGAGCGTGCGTCCTGTTCCCCTGCAGCCGCCTACCCGGCTCTGTGTCCTGGAGGTCAAGCTCATCTGGAGCTCGGGTTACCTGCTTATCCTCCCGCCACTGACCCCACAAGTTTATCCACTTCTCATCTTTGTGTTTCTCTTGCTTCACTCACTTGTTGGGTGTTATGGGCTTGGAGCACCCCGGGTGGGATGGGTTGAGCTCTCGGGCTGCCTTACAGCTGTCCTCATCAGCAACACTGGAGGAGAGCCGCATCGCCCAGGCAAGGTCTTTCTGGCACTTTCCATAAGGCCAGTGGGTTTCTGACATCCCCAGATTTATCTGACTTAAGCTCTCCAGACCTATGTGTGGTTAGAGTCCAAGTACGGAGTGCAGCTCTGGGGATCTTTCCCATGCCGGCCTCCTGGGCCTGTCCTTCCCTGAACTGCGTGGAGGGTAAAAGGAAGAAAAATTCTTGTTGGAGATCTTGGTAGCTTCTCTCTCAGCTATCCACAGTTATTTGGGACTCTGCAGAATAGGAAGAGTAGGAATTGACATTTTTTCTGTACGTGTCACTTGCAAGCCACCCAAACCCCCCAAAGAAACGCCCCCCTGGGTGGTAAGGACACCGCAGTGGCTGACAGGCTGCATCTGGGGCTGCTTGTGGCGTGTCTCGCCAGCATCTTTGAGATCCTCAGGAGCCCCCAGCCTAGAAGGGCGTATCTGCCAGGGCGGGCAGGGTTCTCTGTCCCCCCCTCCCTGCCCCAGGCTCTTTCTCTAGCCCCCCAGGCAGTGTGACTGAGGAGGTGCCTGCATGGGTTTCTCACGCAGCGAAAGGCAGGTTCTTCTCTGCTGATAGCTCTCCAGGAAACCCTTTTGCTCCTGAGCCAGTGGTGTCACTCTGCTCTCCTTGGACGGCACAGCCTGTGCGCCGGCCTCCTTCTCCAGCTGAGGACCTTCCTTGGGGCACTGGCTGTTCTCCCCTGGATTGGTTCTCTGCAGCCTGGAGCCGAAAGGTCTGCCTGGCCAGGCCACATACTCCAGGCAGAGGGGGCTGGGAGGGAAGGGGTGGGTCCTCGCGGGGCCTTGTCCACTGCCTGGGGACTGCTGGAGAGTCTGGCTGTCGCAGCCCTCGGAGGATCATTCCCAGACGGTTCTGTCCCTAGAGGGCACCCTGGCAGGCAGGAATCGGAGCCTCCTGGGAGAGGGGCGGGCGACCCCCTGGAGGCTCACACGCCAATAATCCCCCCCCCCCGGCAGCCCCCCTGGACTGCACACATGTAGATTCAGGGGCAGCCTGCTTCTCCGTCTGATGTCAGCCATGGCCTGGTTGACCTTTCCCTAAAACTTGGTTCTTAGCCATTTTCGGGTCATTAAGAGTTTTGAGAATATGACAGTGATGAGTCCTTAACCCTGGGAATATCTACATTATGGTCAAGTTACTGTGTGATTTCTGAGAGCCCATGATCTGGGATCGCTATGCAGACCCCCGGGTGAAGAGCCGCTGCTCCAAAGGCTGCTGCTAGCTGTGCAGGGCCTGGGTGGCAGCGGAGGCGCAGTTAACCCCAGGGCTCGGGGGGTGGGGGCTAGGCGGTGGGGACTACATTGGAGACATTGGCCAACATACCTGGTGGGTGTGCTTTGCCTCACGTCTCGGAGCTCGGACCAGTTCCTGCAGCCCAGGCATGCTCAGGGGCACTGCGAGAAGAGGCTGGAATTGCATGTGGCGTTTGCTTCTTGCTTCCCTCCTTGGGAGAGCAGCTTGCTGGGGAATGGAGCCCCATTCTGAAAGCCAGCCCCAAGGGGGGCTGCCCTGTTAGATGGGCTGCTGGGGGCTCGTGGCGTGAGCATCCCTTCCCCTGCCCTGGTGATGTAAGAGGTGGGGCCAGGGCCCCCCCAGGCGGTGTTTCTCCCGGGAGGTGGCAGCAACCCACGGCTATGTGGGGCTGTCGCCGAACCTTTGGCACTGACGTGGGTTATCGATTTGCAAGAAGACAGTGACCCGAGTGGATCAGAGGTGGTCAAGGCTGCGCCGTCTGTCCGTGTTTCTCTTTGCTGGGAGGGTCCCGTGGTGGGCTGTGAGAGCAGCAGGGGCCTTGCTGCTGGGGGTTTTCCTGGCTTACCTGCCCTCTCCTACGCGCTCCAGCCTGTCCCCTTGGCACTTGGGGTGAACTGGTGAAGTGTGGCTGCCTGCGTGGTCCGGGTCACCCTCTGGTCTGGCTCTGTTGGTTTCCTGGTGTGCTTTGGTCTGGAGAGCCTCCGGGCTCAGCTGTGCACCTGGCCAACTGAGTAGGGGCAGAGCCCTCCGCAGCTGACCACAGCAGGCACCTGTCTGGCATGCCTGGATGTACAGGGTGATGATGGGGTGTCGATAGGAAGGAAGCCCGAACAAGGTGTCATGTGGGGCTCCTGCCTGCAGACTGCACCAGCTGCTTAGGGGTGGGTGGCAGTGGCTGCCAGTCCCCTCTTGGTTGAGCGCTTGCTGCCTGCCAGGCCCTGCACCATGGCCCAGTGAGGTAGGTGGTCCTGCCCTTGTTCGGAGGAAGCCCAGGCACGCAGGTTGGAGCCCCCTAGTAGCCTGGCTCAGGGCCATGTCTGCCTGTCCCCAGCGGGAGCTCTGTGACCTGGTGGACCAACGCTAGAGTCTGGGCTCCATTCTCAGCCCTCTGAATTTCCAAGGTGGAGACCCAAGAGTCATACGTGTTTTAGAAACACTGCCCAGGTGGCTTTGATTCTGAGAGATCTAGGAGCTGTTCTGCACAGTGCCTGGGAACCCAGCAGGTGCTCAATAAATGCTGACTGTGGTGATCAAAGAACAACTGTGCTGGGCGTGCACTGGGGCTGGGGTGGGGGTGACCGGGCAGGAGGCACGCAGGCTCTGTGTGGGGACAGAAGGGGGGGGGCCCTGCCTGCTAGTGCCCCCCCAGCCCCGCCCCGCCAACACCACACGCAGCCTCCACTCCCCTGGGCCACTGGGAAGCTGCGAGGTGTTGGAGTGGGAGTGGGTAGATGTGGCTTGCCTGTCTCGTATCTGACTCACCGTGTACTCTTCTTGAATCCCTCAGGGAATGTCAGTTCAATTCAGAGGGGAATCTTAGCCTGCACTCGCCCGGGACCTGCTGACACTTCCTAGTAGTTTAAAGGGACAGCTCCATTTAAAACTCTCACCTGCTGCCTTACTTTTTCGCTTTATGGAAGATTTTCTCTAGCTGAGTCTGAATCAGGTGGATTATACTTTGTAGGGGTCGGGGGAGGCGGAGCAGGGCGACCCCGAGATGCCATTTGACCGTGTCTCTCCCCCTCCTGCCCCGGCATTTCAGGACGCCAGCAGGGAGAGCAGCAAGGCCTGCAAGACCCACAAGACGGCCAAGGAGCACCGGGAGCGGCCGCGTAAGGACTCCGAGGGCAAGGCCCCGTCCAAGGAGCCGGAGCGTGAGCCGGCCAGGAGTGCCAAGGACGCCACACGGAAGCTGGGCGAAGGCCGGCCGCCCAAGGAAGAGAAGGCCCCGCCGGCCAAGGCCGCATTCAAGGAGCCCAAGATGGCCCTGAAGGAGACCAAACTGGAGAGCATGTCCCCCAAGGGCGGGCCCCCGCCCCCGCCCCCACCCAAGTCTTCCAGCAAGCGGCCGGCTGCCGCCGACTCCCCCAAGCCCAGCGCCAAAAAGCAGAAGAAGAGCAGCTCTAAGGGGTCCAGGAGTGCCCCCAGCACCTCGCCCCGCACCTCGTCTTCCTCCTTCTCGGACAAAAAGCCAGCCAAGGACAAGGGCAGCGCCAAAGGGGAGAAGGTCAAGACCGAGAGCGAGCCCAGGGAGATCAAAAAGCCCCCGGAGGTGGAGGAGTCCAACTCGGAGGACGAGGCCTCCTTCAAGACAGAGGTGAGGTGGCTCCTTCCCCCCCCGCCCCTGCCCCATCCTTTCTTTCCTGGCTCTGAGCTGCTTGAAAGCTTGTCGGCCCGAAGGTTAGACGAGGAGCCTGGAATCCGGGCTCCCCGCTTGCCCTTTGTAGCTTTGGGCCAACGTCCACACCTCTTTAAGCCTCAGTTTCTGCTTCTGTCAGGAAACTCTGGAGACAGTGCTTAGGGAAAAGTGGTTTTGGTAGAGTGTGGTGGTTAGGTGCTCGGTTCAGAGCTGTCTTCCTGGGGCAGCCCCCTGTGCGGGCCAGGGTCTCGGAAGTGATTGTACGTCACCGCTGCCTCTTCCCTGGCCTCCACGGGGTCAGTCCTACAGGAGACTCGCTCCCCCCGCTAGTGGGGCATCCCTGAGCGTCTTTGTCCCGCTCTTCTGCTCTGGGAACCGGAGCCTCCTCGCTCCGCCCACCACCTGCTTCTGTGCGCACAGGAGGGGCTCCTGCCGCAGCAGCTTTTCCAGGCGGTTCTGAAGGCCGCCATTAGAGATGGTTGAGCCACCGGGCAGCCAGTGGCCAGACCTCACTGGGGCCTCCGGTGGCAGCCCCCTCTCTGAGTGCCGTGGGGCATCTGGGGCTCAGAGGATAGGTGCTTGGCTGGATGGGTGGCTGAGTGACCCCCACCTGTGTCACCAGTCCCAGCCCCCGGTGCCTTCTTGCGTTTCCAAATCCTCATTCATTCTGGACGGCAGAAACCTTGCCTCCGGTGTTGCTACTCAGAGTTCTGCTGGGACTTGGAGAATGGCTCCCAGAGACGAAGCCACAGGATGATTGTGTCTGCAGTGCCGATGTCTTGAGTGTGTGGCCTCCAGGGGCAGACTGTTGGAGGCGACGGCGCGGGCTGGGGGTGACAGTTTGGCCTGTGAGGGTAACTGTGTGCCCCACTGGCTTAGGGACACGCACACAGAGCTGTCAATGCCGTGCGCCCCGCACTCCTCCCGGCCAGGAGACTCCGTCCGCCCGTGAACTTGGAGACCCCCGGTCCTGTTCTGGGGGAGCCTCAGCCTCCTAGCAGGCCCGCCGGGCTGTATCAGGAGCTCGCCCAGCACCTGGAGGTTCTCTGGGTGCTGATAGCACCTGTTCTGGCCCCTGTCTCCTCCGTCTGCTCAGCATCTGCAGCTCTGAGCCGATGCCCTTCCCTCCTCCTCACCTCAGGTGCTTTCAGGCCAGGCCTTTCCGTGCGCAAGGCTGCCGACCTGCACGGGGGAGAGGTGGAGCCCCCTCTCTGGAGCCCCCTCCCCTGGAGCCCCACCTGAGCTGCACATGGTGCCCTGCCGCAGGTGCCCACGCTGCCATCCTGGTGTGGCCATCGTGAGCCCCTGGCAGGCTGTGTGGGACAGTGGGGGCGGTGGGGGCGGCTGCTCCGCGTGGGCTGGCGGCATATCCGGTGTCTGTGGCCTTGGGCACTATGTCCCGGGCTGGAGTTGCTCGAGGAAGCCTGGGGGTTTCTCCTGGTTGAAGAAGCACTTCCCATGTCCCGAGAGACCTCCGAACGACAAGGCTTAGCCACTTGAGGTCCATGCACATGTGAGAGCCAAACCGCCCACAGGATGCCGGACGGTGACTTGAGGACATTTGCCAACCCTGGGACCTCAGTGAGGTGCAGAGATCTGTGGTGGAGGAGGCGGGATAGCCTTCCAGACACAGGCGTCCCCAGCCATCGACCCTGGAGGCCGCATGAGGCACCAGCATCCGAAAGCCCTGACTGTGCGCGGGACCCCCAGTCGCCTCTCTCTGTAGCCCTCAGAGGTGGCTGCGCGGCTCCTTGTCTGAGTCCCTGGGCTGAGCTCCCCAGCTGCTCCGGTGGCTTTTCTGTAGTCTCTTTGGCCCCTGGGGTTTCTGAGCCAGTGGCTCCCATCCGGTCACAGTCCAGGTGGCCCTCTGCCCTCCTTCTGGACGTCCCATGTGGCCTGAGCACCAGGATGCTTTGGCTGCGCTTACAGTGAGACCCTGTGCACTTTCTGACCCACACCTTCTCTAGGCTCTTTGGGCTGAAACCATTTCCAGGTTCCCTTCCCCTGCCCTTTGGATTGGGGGATTCAAGTCCTCCTGAGAAGCGCGTCAGGGACGACGCCAATGCTTGCCTGTTCTGACACGGGGCCCAGGCCGGTCCCTGGGGGGCTCCCCACGTCCAGAGTCTGCTGACCTGAGTCTCCTGACCAGGCACGGCCGCCATCTCTGGCCTAGTGCTCGGCCCCTGCCGCCCATGCCCCGGCCCAGTCCTGTCCGAGTTTTGTGCCCCCCGAGGTCAATGGCACAGTTGGCCTCGGCCTCGACCTCGGTGTGCTAGCATCTGGTACAGACACGCATTTAGCAAAAACCAGCAGAGTCGCTCTTTTATAGATAGGGAAACTGAGGCTTAAAACCAGAGGTGCTGGTGAGAAAGCCAGGGTCAGAACCCAGCACCCCTGCACCAGAATAAGAACTTCAGGATCTGCATGCCGGAGGGTCCACGGGGCTCTAGGCGCATCGTTGGGGGTTGTGGGTCCCGCTGGTCTGTGTGGCACCTCTTCAGTGGTTGGCGTCTGATGGCAGTCTAGGCGGGGTTTCCCAGTGAGGGCTCCCCAGGGAACATCACTGGTCAGTGTGAAGGTGGCTGAGTAGGGGGCGTCAGCAGGGGTATGTACATTGGGAAGGCCTGGAGTGGTTCCGGTAGACTGTGATAACCCGTAGAGAAGAAACCTCTTTAACTCATCAGGCATCTGTCCCTGGGCGGCCTGGATCACTCTGTGGGTCTATGGAGTGAGGAAGGACTTGGGCCTTCCTGCGGCCCCTTCCGTGGGCTGGGGGCTGCCCTTGGTCCACAGACCATCTAGAGGGGCTGTCCTGTCCCCCAGCAGGTCAGGGGCTCTTTTCCTGGGGTCTTCTCTCATGTGGCACCTGCTGGGACTGAGCAGATGCTGTGGGGTGCCTCTGCCAGTCCCCTGGCCCCCTCCCTCCTTGTGACGGTGGGGTGGGGGTGGGGTGCCTGGTCCCAGGTGCTGAAACTGTCAGTCCCTTCAGAGGGTCCCCTGAGGCGAGAGAGGGCTGGACAGGCCCTGTGCCGGGATTAGGCTTGCTGAGTCCCCTGCACGTTGGGGGCACTCTGGGCCAAGGCAGACCTTCTGAGCTGCAGGCTCTGCTCTTCTGCCCTTTGCAGCCTGTGCCCCAGGCCCACGGCTTACTGTGCTGCCCCTTTGGAGTAGCTTATTGGCAGAAACCAAGGGCTCAGGAACAGATGCCACCTCTGTTCTGCCAGAGGCCCCTGCCACGTGCGTGTGTCCCCCTGTGGCAGGTGCAACCCCCAGGTATCTTAACCATCCCCCTCCCCCCATCCCATGGTCTCGTGTTCTATTTTGGCTTTTACTGCCCCCTGGTGGCTGAGTTTGGGGTGGCTGGCTGCAGGAAGAGGAAGGAGGAGGGGCTGTGACTGGCTGTGTGGCAGGACGGGCCAGGCTCCAGTCCACCGTGTCCTCACCTGCTTGTCATGTGCACACATGCTCATCATGACCTCAGGCACCTGGTGGGTGATAGCACATGGCAGGAAGACAGCTTTGGGTCGTCCCTTAGCCTCGGGATGGGCTGTGAAGAAACGAGGAGCAGGACGAGAAGCTGGGTCTCTGCACCCACCTTTCCTGTCCAGACCCTTCAGCTGTTCCCTACAGCACCACTGCCCACACCAGCCGATGCATGCCGTCACCAGAGGAGGGCAGGACCCATAAGCAGATGAGCAGCCGCAGAGGCGCTGTCCTGCCCAGGAGGTTGGACGGACTGGACATGTGGTCTGCAGCTTGTCCTGGAACTGCTAGGAATTTCAAGTCCCTTCGTTGCATTTTGAATGGGGACCCAGACCTTGTGTGAGCCTTAGACCAGGGGTGCTGGGGTCTGGTGCCTTGGTGACCCTTTGAACCGGGATCTGGGTGGAGACCGACCAGGTGTTCCTGCGGCCAGAGGGCATGTACTGCCCGCTCCTTCCCTCTGGACTGAGAGAGTTTTCTTGTTTTCTTTCCCCCTGCCCTGCCCATCCGCACTGCCCCGGGCTGAAGTCTGCCCAGTCAAGCCCATCCAACTCCAGCTCCAGCTCTGACTCCAGTTCAGATTCGGACTTCGAGCCTTCGCAGAACCACAGTCAAGGTGCGTGGTGCAGGGGGGGTGGGGGGGGCCGGGGCCTCGGCGCACCGGGGGTGTTCTTGTGCACCGGCAGCCCCTGGCTGCCTGGAGCCAGTGAGGCAGGGGGGTCTGGGCTCCAACCAGAGGGCGTCATGACGGTTTTCTCCACATGATTGACCTGCATGGGGGCTCACTCCCTGCCCGAGCGTCCGCACACCCCGAGGCCGAGTGCTGCTGCTGCTGTTTTTTATAAAGCTTCATGGACAGCTTACCTGGGGCGGGTGATGGGGAAGGCCCTGGGTGACAGGAAGAGTGGGGGAGCCCGGCCCTGGAATCCCCAGACCAGGCCCCCAGAGATGCGCGTCCAGAGGTCGGTGGAGGTCAGCGGGCGCGTACTTAAGGGCGAGACAGAAGCCGGCCGCCCGACCAGCAGCCGGTGTGCAAAGTGCTGCTCTCTCTGGGGCTTTTTCATCTTTGGTGTCAGTGTCCTGGGCCCCCAGCTGTGCCTGTCCGCGCCGCTGGGCCTCCGGAGAGGGGCGCCTTTCTTCTTTGGGCCCAACTCCTGAGGCCGGCGCCCCGCCCCTGCCCCCAGCGGATAGAGGCTTCACTTCCTCCGCCTGCCCCCCCCCCCCCGCGCTCACCTCACCCCTGCCCTGGTCTTCACCCCCATCCTCACCCCTTCCCCACCGACTCCGTGCCCGCCGTGCCCGCCCTCCCCGCCACCCCAGCATGGCTCTCGTGGGATGGGGCAGGAAATGCTCCGCTCTCGCTGCACGTTCGCCTGGCTCTCAGGCTCAGAGCCCCGCAGTCTGCAGTTCTGTCTTTTCCCTGCCTCCCTGTTGGGGACGTTGGAGGGGGGAGAAGGCAGAAGGCCCACTTGGCTGCCCCAGAGCAGGGAGGACCCTCCTCAGGTGCAGACGGGCCTGGGGGCCCCGGCCCGCAGGGTGCTGATGTGAGGGAGCAGCAAACCGGAAGCATTTCTTCTGGTGGACTGGGACAAGATTGTCCTGCCCCCACAGCCTAGAGTCTTGTTTGAAGGGTTGGGGAGCGCTGGGGACTAGAGCGTGTGCAGGGGGGTGGGGGGAGGGTCTGGCCTGGAATTCAGACAGCAGTCGCTGAGGGGAATGGGGGATGGGAGGCTCAGAGCCCGCACACTCTCCGAGGGTTCTTATCTACGGGGAAGGGAGGGGGGACCTGCCCAAGCAGGATCACGTGACCAAGGTAATTGAGGGCTTTGTGTCCCTCTGTTGCCTTGGTAACAGGAATATAAACCAAGATGCCGTCTGTAGGGGACTGGAACCGCGAGCCTCTGGAGAGAGGAGAGGACAGTTGGCCCAGAGCAGCGGAGAGGGTTGCTGAGGGGCTGGGCAGGCCGGAGTAGGGGCTCAGGCTGCCCGGGAGGGTTCTGTAGCCCCCAGGTCTAGCTGCCTCGCCCTCCCTGGCCAGGGCTGGCTTGCCGTGGCTCCAGGCAGAGGCTGTGCTCCCTGCACCCAGAGCAGAGGAGGGCTGCCCCATCGGCCCAGGCAATGGAGGGGCCCTGCAGTCCTGCAGCAGGCCAGGGGCCAGAGGCCTGCGAGCAGGGCCAGGGGCCAGAGGCCTGTGTGCAGGGCCAGGAAGGTAGGGGGCGGGGGAGCCAGGGGGTCCCTTAGGAAGGGGGTGGCCGCGGGGGCATTTCTTAGAGGCGGGTGGCAGACCTCACCCTGGCCGGAGGGACCTCCGAGGCAGGTTTGCATGGCTGTGTTTTTGGGGTGATGGTTTCAGGAAGCTCCATGTGGCCCTGGGCGTGCAGGGGGATCTGTAGGGTCCAGGCAGAGCCCTGATCTTCCTTCTCTCCCCTCCCCCCCCTCCCTTGCTGCCCTCTCCAGGACCCCTGCGCTCCATGGTGGAGGACCTGCAGTCTGAGGAGTCCGATGAGGACGACTCTTCATCAGGCGAGGAGGCCTCTGGCAAGACGAATGCTGGGAGGGATTCCAGGTGCTTGGGCCGGTGGGGAGCGAGCTGGGCGGGCGTGGGAGCTGCTCCGGGGTGGCTCTACCTGCCTCTGCTGCGGTTGGGGGGCTTCGGGGCGGCCGGGCCAGGAGGGGAGCGTCAATGGAACAGCCCAGGCGCACCTGGGGGCTGCGTGCTCTCAGCTTCATGAAGCCGAGGCGCTCTTGGCGGCCGGCTGGCCGGCTGGGAAGTGCAGTCACCATTGGAGAAGCGAGTGAAGCAGGGCTCGGCAGCCCCGGGGCCAGTCCTGGTCCAGGGTATATGGGGGCCGGGGGGTGAGGAGGGGGGCTTATTCCTCTGCTTTGGGGCCAGGGGGCCGCTTCCCCCTCCCCCACATGGGTGGCATAGGGTGAGGACGGACTGAAAGCTCTCCTGGGACCCGCAGACACCCCAGCATGGGGAGCTGCTGTGGCTGCCCACCGGCCTGGGGAAGGTGACGTCTGTCCTTTCCTCCGAGCAGGGTGAGCTGAAGCTCCTTGTTTGGGTACCCCAGACCCTTGGAGTGAGCCCACCTCGAGGATGGCTGTGTGTGGTCAGCCTCCAGCCCAGAGCAGAAGTCGGCCTCGGTGCCAGGCCGGCAGATCGGGCAGACCCCGGAGTCGGTGGCCCCGTCTTGATAGAGCTCCTCCTCCCTGTGAGGCCAAGACCTTGGGACCTCAGCAGCTCCGCTTTAGGAGAGGCTGGGCATTGGGTCTGCACCCCCAGGCTCGGGAAGGCCTAACAGGTGCTTGCGGTGGGGCCGTGTTAGTCGTGGTGGTTACCTCGCCGTCCTGAGAGAGGCTTTCAGTGGGCTCTTGCATTTGCCAGCACGCTCCCGGTAAGGGTGGAAGTGACAGACGACAGTGTCCCCTGCTCTGCCGGGTGCGGTGCTTTCAGTGTGCAGTGTGGGGTGTGATGTGCACTGGGAGCAGGGAGCTGGGAGCACTCACACATGGGGCTCCCGTTCCTGAGGGGCTCCCCGAGCAGCCTGGGGACCAGATGTGCGTAAGCGCCTTTAGTGACCTTTTCCAGGGACAGACGTGGAAGGTGGGGCTTCCTGGGGCGCCGGGAAAGGGGCCATGCTGGCCCCATGGCTGCTTGGGAGGAGCTGGCAGAAGCCCACCTTGTCCTGTCTGCTTTGTGCGGAGCGGCTACCTGGTGGGCCCGCGGACGCGGGGGAAGGGAAGGGTGCGCGGGTCTCCGGGGCCGCACCGGGGTCTGGCTGACGCCTTGTGCTCCCCGGGCAGCAAGGAGACCGCCCGCCTGCCTGTCCCCCCTGGTGACCCGCAGCTGTGGGAGGTGGGGAGAGAGCAATTTCTGGGCCCCTAAGACAGCAGGGCCCTGGGGACAGGTGCTGCTTGTGGGAGAAACCCCCCCCTGAGGACGGGACAGCACGGACCCCAGGGGAGTGAGACCAGAGCGCCCGGGGCTGGGCTTCTGGCCACCGTGTGTCCTGGTACTTCTCGCACTGATTCTGTGGCGCGGCCTGTTTCAGGCCGGAGGAGAGAGTGGCCGGCGGACCGACAGCACAGTAGATGTGTTGTACGCCACAGCGGTGGGGGCTGCTCCTGACTAGGTCAAGCCTAAGGGACTGGGGGTCCTGGACAGAGACTCTGCCCAGGGGTGCTGTGTGTGGCTGGCCAACGGATGGGCTCCCTCCACACCTGTTTGCTGGGCCTTGAGAGAGCGGACCATGCTAAAGGCAGCGGCCTGCGTGTTTTGTGCAGAGAGGAGTGAGAGACATGGCTGTAGGTTCATGTGTTGGCGACTCTGAAGCCTGAGTCGTCGCGCCCTTCGCTCTGAGACAGCCTGCACACTTGTCGGCGGGTCAGGGCGCCCCCTGCCCCAGAGGGAAGCCCACTGTAGAGCGCGGCAGCTCCACCTGCTCGGCCACCAGCCGCACAGCCGAGCTCAGGAGCAAGATGGGCAGAGCGCCCGCTGGGTTGTGTTCCGGCCCAGGAGCCCTGCACCGGGGGCCCCCCACGCCTCCCAGGGTGCTGGCCTGCTGCCTGGGGCTCCGAGCTGTGAACGCAGAGCTGCCTAGAACTGAGGGAGGTTGGTCTCCTGGGGCCTGGGGGAGCGCAGAACCCAGAACGTTGGGCGTACGCGTGGCCCGCGGGGCAGGAGCCAAGCGCACAGGTCCCCGGGACGGCAGACGGCTGAGGCCTGACATGGTGCCGTGTCCCGTGTTCAGGTTGAGCTTCAGTGACAGTGAGAGTGACAACAGCGCCGACTCCTGCCTGCCCAGCCGGGAGCCCCCTCCCTCCAAGAAACCACCCCCGCCCAACAGCAAGGTACGCGGGGGCGGGGGGGGCGCCTCCCCGCTCAGGAGGAGGAGGGGAGGGGGGACCTCTTGGGTGATCATGTCCTGGACGCAGGGTTGAGGGATGGGCTTTGGCCTGGTCCTGGGCTGTAGTTCTCCAAGGGTTTGAGGCTGAGGGTGGGGGCTGAGAGGGGCTTGGGTCCCCCAGGCCCCAGACAGCTGCTGGCCAGGATGGGCCGCTCTTGGAGCAGGCGGGTGCCGGAGCTCTGGGCAGTGGCCCTGGGGAGGTGGGAGGGCCTCCTGCGGGCAGGGGGAGGGGAGGAAGGCGGGAGCTCAGAGCCGATCCCATTTGCCCTGCAGGCCTCAGGCCGGAGGAGCCCGGAGCCCTGCAGCAAGCCCGAGAAGATCCTCAAGAGGGGCACCTACGACAAGGTGGTGGGCTTGGACCGGGCAGGTGGGGTGGCCCCGGGGGATCCCAGAGCTGGACACGCTCCTCCCAGCGGGTGCCCCATCCCAGCCTAGCCCAGGCGAGCGTCCGGCCTTCCTTCTCTCCAGGGCCCTGAGCCAAGATGGGTGGGCCCACGGGCAGGGTGGCGTTGAGCAGTTGGGAGGGGCTGAGGCCGCCCGCTGAGCACCTGCCCCCCACCCCCACCCCCACCCCCAGGCCTACACGGATGAGCTGGTAGAGCTGCACCGGAGGCTGATGGCCCTGCGGGAGCGCAACGTGCTGCAACAGGTACGGGTACTGGCCGCCACCTGCCCTGCCCCCTGACCCGGCCCGGGGCAGGGGGTGCCCCCAGGCATGCATCTCCAAGGAGCCCTCCTTCCCCCTCCTCCTCCCTCCTCCCCCTCCTCCCCTCCCCCTCAGAGCCTACTGGGGTGAGGGCCACCCCAGACCAGCCTCCTGTTCCCTGAAGCCACCTGCTACCACCTTCTAGATCGTCAACCTGATCGAGGAGACCGGCCATTTCAACGTCACCAACACCACCTTCGACTTCGATCTCTTCTCCCTGGACGAGACCACCGTGCGTAAGCTGCAGAGCTACCTGGAGGCCGTGGCCACATGACCCTGGGCCGGGTGCTGGGCCCACTTCGCTGGGGCCCCAGGAGGCCACATCCGGGCCCCGCCTTCCTCCTTCTCTCTCGACTCACCTGCCCGCAGCACTGCCTTAGTGACCGCCCTGTCCTCGGCCCGCACGGCCAGCTGCACTTTCCTCGCCGGCTCCCGGCCCGCCCTCCCCACCACCTTAGCGGGAGCCCTGAGGCTGAGGGGCGGGGGGGCAGGCCAGCGCCACTGCTCCCCACTACTCAGGGGCCGTCCCCTGGGCCCCCCTTGGAAAGCAGCTGGTGTTGAAGGCAGCACCAGGCCTCACTTCAGAAGGGGAGGAAAGGTGGCCAGCAGCGGGGGCCTGGTTTCACTGCCCGGGCCTCTCTGAGCAGCCAGGGCACTGCCTCCGGCCTTCCCAAACGGTTCACAGCCCGCCCCCTCCCCCCCGCCCCCCACCGTGCCCCAGGACCGCAGAGGGCCACAGCCCCTCCGCGGGCTCTCACTGTGCTGGGCCTCCGTCTGTATAGTTCTCTCTAGTGTACGTGTGTATGCACTGTAGGTACCAGAGCGGCTTCCGGGTGTGCGTTCCCGTGGCAGCAGTGCACGTGGGGGGTGGGGGGTGCGTAAGGCGGGACTTGTAGGTTAAGATGTTTCCACTGGTCTGGTCGTGGGGCTGAAGGCCGGGCCGGAGCAGCACCGGCGCCTCTCCAGGCGAGGGGAGGAGTCGCCCCTCCGCGGTTCCCAGGATGTCTCGTCCTCCCGGGGCGCGGAGGGCCCTGCCCGGGGCCAGCGAACACTACGATGGGGCAGCAGGTCCGCGGGCGCCCGGGGGCCTCCGTGCGCTTGGCGCCTGGTCAGACTGACGGCCACCTCCAGGAGCCGCCCCCGGGCCTCCAGCAGCCGCAGGCCCTGACGTGTGTCGTCCCCCACCCCCCGGCTCGTTCTCTTCCTCCTTCCGTAGGACCCTCTTCCCCCCTCTGTTGTTGGAGTCTTCGAACTTTGAAAAAAATGAGCTTTTGCCAAATAAGACGGGATAGTTTGTGGAGTTTTCTGAGGAGCATCAGGACTCAGAGCCAGCCCCTCAGGCCAGGCCCCAGCCAGAGGCAGGCCCTTTTGGGCTCCCGCGTGTCTGGTTTGGGCCCGGCCCTCCCACCCTGCGAGTCACGCCAGTCCAGAGACCCAGCTCCTCGCATGCCTGAGACTCTCCAAGGGCCGAGCCAGCTCTTCCTCTTAGCCAGGATGTCCTCATGGCGCCGGCCCCCCTCGGGTGGGGCTCCTGGGGGCTGGGGCCCTGTTTGCTCAGCCTCTGTTCCCCCGGACCGCGACTCGAGGCTCCCCCTGGCCTCCCCACCCCAACTTTTGCCCTGAATGAGATGTGGGGCAAAGGACCGGGGTGGGGCCCGGAGGTGGGCTCCCCCCCTCCCCCCAGTCCACTGCCAGAGGGTCTCTCCTCCCCCCAGTTCCCAAGTTCCGATGCGGGGAGTGCCAAGCTCCCCTTCCCTGTGGTTCGTCTGTCAGGCAGACCCTAAACACTCCCGGGGGAGCTCTGCCTCCAAGACTCCCCCAGACTTCAGCCTCCCTGGTGAAATCCCCAGAACTCGCTGGGAAGGCCTGAGAACTTTTCAGAGGAAACCGCCATGACTCCTCGCCATCTGCTCTGATTCTCTCCTGACCCCACTACCTTGAGGTATTAGGAAGAGGGCAGGCCTGTGTGGCAGGCTCCGTGCCGTCACCGTCCCCTTCCCCAGGCAGGCCAACAATACTCCAAAGTGGGGCACCTTTCTTCTCTGGAAACTCTAAGACATTGGACAGAAGGAACTGGCCTGATGTGGGCTACGCGGCCGCTGCCCAGCCCTCTGTGCACAGAGGCTGCTGGGGGCCATGCCAGGAGCCTGAGCTGGCCTTTCCCCTTTGGGGGCATCTCCTGGGAAGGGCCATAGGCCCTCCCGAGCTCCACATGGTGACTTGGGCAGCGCTCAGCTCTGGAGCCGGGCTGTGCCCGGGAAGCAGCTGGAGGAAGGCCAGGGTTTGGCCCACCCTCAGTGGCAAGAGTGTCTGGCCCCTCCTGCTGTTTCTGGGGCCTCCGGAAGCACCAACCCATTTCTCAGTTACCTCCTCTGGCCAGAAGGCCCCAGTGCTGGCCCCCTGATCACCTGATGGACGCGCCAGGCAACCAGGGCCCTGACGGCAGCATTGCCAGCTGCTCCCCCGCCCCTCCCCCCCAGCTGCCCGGCAGCTGGGCCCACAGGGGCTCTGGGGACGCCTCCATAGGAAGGGGCCAGCACTTTGTGATTGCCGCGTGTTTAGTGTTAAGCCCCCTGCCCCCAGTGCAAATCCCTGTGTTTTGCTATCTCCTGAACAAAATGTAAACCGACACCTGAAAGCAAAAGGTATCGAATACCTTTTTTACCCATAAGGGTTTTTACAAAGAATGTGTCTCAACTAGGAACTAGGACACTCATCGGCCCGAGACCAACTCCTGGATAAAAGGAATAAAGGAGAATCGTGTTTGTAATAAGTTACAGGATTGTTTCTGTCCTGGATTTTAAACTTTTTGTTAAATTGTGAAATTATGGAGGAGTTTTATAGAAAAAAAAGTGAAATAAAGTCAGATGGGAAAGCAGATCTGTGTGTAGAGCCTCGTGCGTCTGCTTGGCTCCTCCTGGGACAGCCAGGAAGGGGAGAGGGGGTGGGCGTCAAGCCTGGGCAGGACGAGTGGGGACGGGGCGGGGGGCTGGTGTGAGCAGGGTTGGCATCCTGGGGGAACACAGACGGCACTCCCGGAAATCCAGGAGGGGAGCAATGCTGGAAAATTTGATCGCGGGTCCTGTTTTTGATGGTGTGTTCTTTCCCTGGAAGCAGGCAGCAAGGTTGGGGTTGAAAAACAAGCCTGACTTCACAAGATGGGAGAAGGGGTGGGTAGGAGGGTAGGGGTGTGGGGGGATGTGTTGGGATGGGAGGGGGCTGGGGGATGGGAGGTTGATAGAGGGCAAGATCCGTAGAAAAAGGGTGGCGAAAGGCTTCCTTTGCTGAGAGCTGGGTGGCCTGCCTGCTGGTTTGTCCGTGGTGGGCTCAGCTCTGGACTCCGTGAGGCCGAGACCGAGTCCTTGCAGGCCCCGTGTAGGCAGCCCTGCCCACTCTGCGAGGGTTCCATTCCTGAGGGTCCCGCGCCACAGGCTGGGGCCCGGCCACTCCTCCCACAGCCACTGCAAGGGAGCCAGCTGGCCACACTGGGGTCCTCAGGAGCCTTTCTTCTCAGCCTAGGCAAAATTCCCACTTCCAACATCAAGGTTCCCCTGCCCTGTCTTTCCTACCAGGGAAAGATTCCGCAAGTCCTCTGGGGCAGTTTGTGATCTGAGTTCCTGGAGGAGGGGCAGAGAGAGAGAGGGTCCAGAGGGCTTCGCAGGGTTCGCAGAGCCCCACCACACAGTGAAGACTGACTCCCTGGGGGCTAAGGATGCAGCAGGGTGAAGGAGCGTCCCGCGGCCTCTTCCCAAGCCCTGGAGGGCGAGGGTGCTGCCGCCAGAGTCCCCGCGGGGCAGGCGGAGCGGCCCCCGGAGAGTCGCCTGCCTGTGGGGCAGCACGTAGGCACATTTCTGAGGCTCAAGCCTGGGCACGTGCTCCCGCAGTTGCTTACGTATGTTTGCCCCTGGTGGCGCCCTCCTCCTCCCCGCGGTCCACCTGGGATCCCTGGCCTTCAGCCTGAGGAATTCTCATTAGCAGCAGGGAATTCTGTTCCGGCAAAAAAAAAAAAAAAGTCTCTGTCATCCTTCGGCCGTAAGGGCGTTTCCACTGGGAGCCGAGCTGTGGGTGGGCAGCCGCGTTCCTCCACGCTCTGCCCTGGCTCCGTGGCCTGCTGCCTCCCGCCGTTTCTGGGGAGAAGTCAGCCCTCCAGTCTCTTGCCCCTTGGAGGCTTTGGTCTCTGGTGCCTTTAAAATTTCCTTTTTGTCTTTTAGTTGAAAGCAGTCGCGTAACGTTTTGGTGATTTGTTTCTTTCATCAATAGGACGACTCTGTCCCTTTCAAACACGTTTGCCTTGAATATTTCCAAATCTTATATTTTAAATTTGTATTTTCATGGTGCAGGCTCAAAAGGGCACGTGATCCCCGTTCCTGCTTCTTTTCCGTGTCCACTTTCTTACGCGTCCCTCGGGAGCCATCACCTGCTCACGACCACGACAAGCGCTCCCTCACAAATGGTGGCGCCCCTGCACACCTTTTCCTCAACGTGTCTGAGCACTCAGGCCAAGTCCTTCTGCTGCGTTAAGTGCACCTTAACTCACACCACTAGTCCTGCGGGCAGGCTGGGGACGGTTTTCCCCTGGTCCTCTCCCTGCACGCGTGCAGGGGTGCGACCGGGTCTCTGGGGGCACCAGCGCGGGCCCGCCCGCCGCTGTCTGGGGCTGGGGCTCCTTGGCGTCGGCCTGCTTGTGCACACGCGCGTGTGTTTCTCGGATCTCCCCGTGGAGCATGAGATGTGGCTCTTGTGTGTTCTACACCCCACTTGCCTTTCCGTCCTGGGCACAGTTCGCGGAAGCCTTATGTCTTCATCCAGCTTCTCCCTCGGTGGCTGCCGGGTGCTTATTCCTGGTCGAGGATGATACGAGGTTTGCAAGTTCTCTCAAGGCGGCTTCCAGCAGTGTAATGCTGTCCCCCCCCTTTCCTTCCCTCGCTTGCTTGCTTTCTCACCTCCCGGTTTTGCTCTGTCCGGAGTTCATCCTGCCGGGAGCCAGGGCCTCTTGTTTCCGCAGTAGCCACCGTCACGGCCACGGGCTAACCCGTGCTGCCTCCACTTACCTGAAAGGCTCCCTCCGATCCTGCATCCTTGTCTGTGTGCGGGGCTCCTCTCCTCTGCACATCTATTATTTACGCTCCATCACTGAGCTTTTCGTTACCGCGACTTTGTCATTTCTTTATTACTAGTAGGACTAGTCCCCTTTCGTTATTATTCCCTACTTAGAACTTGCCCCCCAGATACGCCTGCGTGTTTGCTTTCCGACCTAACCTGGTCAGCTGGAGTTCTAGAACGTTTTCTTTATCTCGTCGTCCTGAAGTTTCCTGTTAACATTTTAGTTTTGGAAATTTTTATTTTCCAAAAAGATGTGTCCTTGCTGGCGCTGGGTGGATCCCCAGAGAATCCTGGCGGCCATTCCCTCCGGGTGGCTGCAGACAGCGGCGGGGGGGTGGGGGGGGCGTTTCTGCACCATCTCTCCAGAGGGTGGGGAGCCTGTGCGGCCGCCCCTCACCTTTGTCACACTAAGAGTGTGTATAGTTTTCAAAGTGAAGAAACCTATGAGGTTTATCACATCTGGTTTCGACTTTTCCAGAGCCTTCAGTAGGAAACTCCTCACTGGCCTCCCGGCCTCAGCACGACCGACATTCTGTGGTCAGGCACCTCTCCAGGAAGCTCCCTGGCCTCCACCCGCCACGTGTCACTAGCACCCGCCTGCCTGGTGGGGACAACCAAAAAATGTCCCCAGATATTGCCACGTGTGTCCTGGGGGGCGCAGGACCACCCTGGGTAAGAACCACTGCTTTAGTGAAACCAATTT